ATGAATGCATGACATACTGCAATAAAAATGTGTTAAGGTATTTGTATTCATCTTATATTGCTGTGTAACAAATTCTCACAAACTTCATGGCTTAATGCAGCATCCTTTATTATCTCACAATTCCCATAGGTCGGTCAGAGGTCCAGCCTGGCCCAAAAGTTTGCACACTTCAAAGTGCCCAGGCCATCTGCATAGAGGAAACCTTCTCCCACACAGTTTGGGTTTTGCATTCCCACCCTCGCTCCCACGGCTTGCATTTAATCCATTTCAAAACAATTAAGAGCTGTGAAGAATGCCTGGATGTAAACAAATAGAAAATCCACTTAAGAAGCACTTTTAAATGAGATTCTCCAGGTCCTGTGAAACCAAGTGAGACCTCAGCTTGCCTTGCCAAGTCTCACTTCTAAGGGTCAGTCTGTTAATCCATCAGTCTGCTGGGGCCATCGGCCTTTGAATCAGGAAATGACTGCCCTCTCTAGATTAGCGGTTTTTCGATAACGCTAAAATGGCATTTGGTATAGATTATTGGGCTTGTCTTATCTGGGGAGACAGCGGAAGGGAGTGAGAGCTCAATCTTGGAGACTTCCGTCTCCCTCACTGTGCACAGCACAGAGTAGCTGGCCAGTAAGTATTTGTTGAATTTGACTGGAAGAAAATTTGAGGTGAGAAAGAATTCTAAACCATAGCCATGTCTAAAAGCCGAAATCAGACTTCCCCTACCCTGCCTAGCATGGTTTCCAGTGAGTGCATCAGGATTACCCTGTCTTGTTTATGGTGAACGCTCTTAAAGAAGCTGACCAGAATTCTACATTGCGTGGAGTTCTTCGGATGTGTTTCTCTTTCCTTCTTACGGGATTAGAGATCAGAAAAGTAGCTAGTTTGGGGGCAGAGGGATACTAGGGTAGGAGAAGCAAGTTGTTTTCCTGTGGTGCTTCTCAAAGTCCTTGCCCCGCCTTGCCTCGCCCCTCTTTTAAGAACTAGGGCCGAGACTTAAGTTCCCATCAACCACAGATGGGCAGATGACACAAGATTTAACAAGAAACGAGCACAGGCAGACACTGCAGCAGGGGCTGGGGAAGCTAGGATTTCCAGAGACCGGGTTTCTGGACCGCCTAGTCTAAGGGATAAAGGATAGGGGGTAGGGTCGGTGAAAGGCAAGATACCAAGGAGTTTACAATTCAGTGCTGATAGGACAGGGGTGGGGATGTCAGGAGGTGGGGGGAGGGGAGGGGGTATGGTGCTCTCAACCCGAAGCCGGAAGCCAAGGGAAGGAAAGACAGGAACGGCCTCCCAGAGCAAATGGTATCCGGGCTGAGTCTCCAAAAGAGAAGCCAGTTCAAGTTCCCTCAGAGAACTACCTGCCAAGTATTCAGTTGACCCCTGAACAACACAAGGATTAGGAGCACTGTGCCCCCCAGCACAGCTGAAAATCCACGTACAACTTGTGACTATCCCGAAAACTTAACTACTAATAGCCTGCTGTTGACAGGAAGCCTTACTGATAACATAAACAGTCCGTTAACACTTATTTTGTATGTGATATGTATTATATACTGGATTCTTACAAGCGAATAAGCTGGAGGGGGAAATGTTATTAAAATCATAAGAAAGAGAAAATAGATTTACAGTATTTATTGAGAAAAAAGTAGACCTGCACAGTTCCAACCCATGTTGTTCAAGGGTCAACTGTACAAGCTTCCCATAAAATACGGAAAACAAGCAAGCCCAAACAATGACATACTATTTTTCACATACAGAATTAGCAAAAAATTGAGACGCTCGGTGCAGCCAGCTGGTAAAGACGTGGGGAATGAGTGGGGGAGCAGGGGGAAGGGGTGGCGGGGAGATGTGTGCAGACTTCTCAGAAAACGAATCTGGAAAGGTCCACCCTTGAAGCAATTCCAGTGCTAGAGATTTACTGGCCGGATGTGCTCCCAAGCATTCACCAGGATGTACGTCCAAGGAAGTTCACCGCAAAATGCAGCAGCAACACCAACTGTCCATTCATTGATACAACCGTCTATATGTCTACTGAGGAATTCATATGACACAGCACCCAGAAGGGGAGCCCTCTCCTCCACCCTTCTCCTCCCTCCTACCCAGCGTACGGAACGATGTAGCTCTAAAGGGACCCCACTGAGCTTGTCTTCCCCACTGAGTCTAGTCTGCAAAATTTTGAGAGCAAGAATCTATTCTAAATTTCACACAGAGGTGTGTGGCAAAGATAGATGTTTCCAGCCGCCGTTTAAGCTCACGAGTGAGAACAGAAAGTCTTTAACTTGTTAATGAACCGGAGAGCTTTTATCAGAAGCTGTTGGGAGCTGAGCTTGGTGGGGTTAGAGGCTACACCACCCTCAGGTGGGGGAACTCCCCATCCGATCCCCCCAGAATGTTCAGATGATATGACAGAGGTGACATGCCCTGTCCCTAGGAATTCTGTGGTAAAAGAAGGCTTTTACCTTAAAACCTTGTCGCTCTGTATGCTGCAGAAATGGCTGTCCTTTTGATTGACTCTTTAGTTGGGGGTTAATTCTGTTTGTAGCTTTTTAAAGCTAACATCTATCCCATCTCCAAACTGTTTTCTCCCTTGAATTTTAGACAGACACGGGAAGATTGTCTTTTGATTACGATGTTGTTTGGTTGAACCATTCTTGGTGTGGTTGGATGGTTTTAAGTCAGATGTGTATCTGTGTGGTTTTAAACACCCAGTTTTTAGTACACTGACAGCTCAGAGGGCCGTATGAAATCGTTCCGAGACCAAGGGCATCTATTTCTCACTCTCAGCCCTCAGTGCCCTCGGTGAGGGAAGAGGTGGGGTGCCGGGGACTGGGGACCCCGGTGACACAGAGGTCTCCTGCCCCAGGCCGGCGCCGCGTGGGTCTGACCTACAGCAGCTGGACGGAAACAGAACTCCATAAAAGCGTCACACTTGTGTGTCTGGTGGTCTCAGGTAAACGCCAGGCTTTGGTTTTCGAAATTAGAATTAAATTCTGTTTAGGGATTCCCCCTGACATTGGAGTATTCAGTAAGGAATTCAATCGTCCTTGGCGCGGAGCTGTTAGGTGAGTGGTCCGCGCCTGTCCCGCTGCAGCGCGGAGTGTTAAGGGGACACCTCTGAATCGGGGGGTCGTGGGGGCGGGGCGGCGAGGGGAGGGCAGACTGAAAAAATCCCAGTGAAACCCAGCGGCCGGGCTGACGTGGTCGCCCATGCCGGACCACCGTGTTTCTAAAACTTTTTGCTGGAGCAGGCCTGGCACCTTGACTGGAGACCCCTCCCCCCAGTGGCCGCGCCCCAGGCCAGGGCCGTCAGGGGTTGCAGACCCTAGAGGCACCATCTCATCTCCCAGCCGGCCCTCCCCTCGCTTCCTTTCAGCCTCCACTTGCAATGCAGGTCCGCCAGGAATGTACACTCAGTCACGTGATGTCAGGAAGCCCCCTCCCCCCCCCACTCTTTCTGACCCTGAACTTCAGTCTTGACCGCAAGCTTCCCAGCCTTCCCCCTCACTCCCCCCTGGCAGAGAGCACACCCTTCCCGGCCACCTGGGTACGCCCAGCGCAGAGCAGGGGGCTCAACACACCTCTCTTGAAAAAACAAAGATGAAAGCAAATTTGGAGAAATAAAATTTGGCAATAAAATATCCAACGCCTGAAGAGCCCCATAACGTGGTGTTTAAGGTTTTCTGATTAAAACAATTATCTTCCTCCGCTCCTCCGACCCGGAATCACCAACCGGATCAACGTAATTGATTTGTGGGATTTTCTTCTTCAAAACAGTAAATCTGGTATTTTTCACCCGCAGCTAATGATGGAGACGTTAGGCCTGGTTAACCTCAGTTTTACAAGACTCCGCCTCACCCATTCTCTCTTTGTCTCCCCCGCTTTGCTGCCTTTCACTACCACCCCGGGAGAGTTGAAGGGCTGTGCTGGGCGTGGGTGTCCCGCCTCCCCCGCCCGCCTGTGAGGCTTTGTCCTTGAGAATCTCCAGGGAGGCTGAGGCCCCGGCTAAGAATTAGGAAGGAACCTATGATGGGCCACACAGTTTTCTCCGGACGTCCTGGCTCCTCCTCCTCCTCCTAAGACTGGGGTGGGAGAAGCATCTTTCTCATTGGGGATCTTTTTCTTTTTTAAATTCTCATTTCTATTTCAGGAAATTAATGTTTCCCGTTGGGTGTTTCAGCAAAGACTGCGAAGTCAAGGCCCGTGAACAGGGTCCCCCCTGCATTGGGAGGTATGGACGGCAGGAAGATGAAGTGCTTCTCTTCCAGGTATGAACCGATCTTGAACGTGGACTTTTGCCAGCTTAGGAAGTAAGATGGCCTACATCGCTCTGCTGTCGGATTTGATCTTTCCGAAAGATCTGGGACTTCGCGCTTGTTTTGCCATTGGCTTTTAAGATTTTCGGTCAGGTGAATGAATGGCTCTGCCCCTGACTAGTGTTTTTCAACTCTTGTGTAAGATAGGTCAGTATTCTAATCGAATGAAAAAATCTATTTCTGAGAAGATTAAAGGCAGAGACAGATTGAGTATTTGCAAAACCATTAAGAATAATGAAAAACTTTTTAAACCTGAAAACCCTTCAAAGGACTGGTTTAAAGGAAATAGTTGGTAAAATGTGATTTTACCAACAGAATGTTATGCGGCCATGTTAAAGTTCGCCTGTGAAAACTACTTAAAGGAGAAAAAATGTATGCGAAATAGATCAAAGATCTACACCTACTTAAAAATTATGTGCATATGAAGACGGAGCCTACGAATAATAACTTATCGAAAAGCATTGCATATTAGGTGGCTTTTATTCTCGTGTTTCTTTACGTTGGCACATGAATTAGCCATTTCAAAAGAAAGGGAACATAAAAAAAGAAAGGTGACACCCTAGCATTTCTCCTTAGTGGTCTGTGGCCTTGTCTGTGATGGGAAGACCCAGGTGTTAACTGAGAGAGTTTTATTTGCTTTGTTTTGCTAACAATGACGGAGTTCCTCTTCCTAGGGTGATTTTGATCATGGCCATTTCCAAAGCGTTTGAACTGGGATTAGTTGCTGGTAAGAGGTTTTGGGTTCTTTTGATCACAGCAATTTTCTCGTGGCCCGAAATACTGGCCCTATGAGTTGATTTTGTCATTAAGGGTTGAGCCGCCATGAACTTGCATGGACATCACAAGGAGATCTGACCTTCGGTGATAACAGCTATCTGTCCCGGGAGGAGCCTGCAATTCGTCATCGGCCTTCCCAGTTTGTGCCAGCCATGAGAATCCAGGACAGTAAGACCTACCTGCCTTAGATCTACCGTGTGGGTGATAGTGCTTCCTGGTCCTGAATGTGTTCTCTTTCTTTTTTTTTTTTTTTTTTGACACTCTGTCACCTGAGAGAGTGGGCTCCTGATTCTGGAGTCGGGAGGGTGGTCGGACGGGTTTTTCATCATGGAGGCGAGACCGGCATTGTGCACCTCACCTCCCAGAAACCTTTTCCCCCACTCACTTCCACTTCAGGCTCGGGACCAAGGGACACCAGCTCTGCTTTGCATGAGAAAGAGTTCAATGCTCAAACGCAGGGACCGCAAAAGGAACACTAAACACCGGACTTATTCTGTGATGTTTACAATATTGAGACATCTACAAACACTTGGGGGGAGAGTAAGCCCTTGGTGTCACATTAACCTTTGCTAACAGGAACTCAGCTTTTCAATCCTTCCACCCTCTGAGCCGCCCTTTCTTACATTCCAGGTAAGGAGCTCAACAAAACCTGCTGTCTGAATGGGGGAACCTGCATGCTGGGGTCCTTTTGTGCCTGCCCCCCCTCCTTCTATGGACGGAACTGTGAGCATGATAGACGCAAAGAGTAAGCCATGGGAACGGGGTGGGGTGGGGTGGGGAGGAGAGGGAAGGAGAAACGGGGGGTTTAACATACACATGTATCAC